TACAGTAACGGTAAAGGTTCCCCTCGCACATATGTGCTAGTGGTTCCTGACTCTAGGGGGCGGTGCTCATCTTTGTTTGAAAGCCAAAGAGCCAGCACTGTCCGAAGACATCTCCGTGGTCATGTGGCCGGTGTGACTAAATGCCTAAGGCACACAGATTGCTGTTACCTTCCCATCAAAGGTGGTTCCTATTTTTCTACTTGCATTTTTACGTGCTTTCACACTGCTAGGTTGGCAGAAGCTGGGAGAAGGAATGGGAGCTCACTTCGTTACGTGGCGCTAGGGATTTGAACCGTTAAACTGCCGACCTTTCTGATCGACCAGCTCAACGTCTTAGCCACTGAGTCCCTATAAATACATAGGCAGTAGTCTATATTGCCTGCATTTATTCTACTCTGCCAGCCACAAGAAAAAGACCAGGAAACCAACAATATATCAAATGTTGGTCCTCTGATGAAAGCTTAAATTTAAAACGTTAAAACCGAAATCCCAGGACTTAGATTTAACCAGAAGTTCATCATACCGGTTTGTTGTCTGCTATCCAGCACTTGCAATAATCGCAGAATTTCTTGGGCTGAGATTTCCAGTAATCAGCCCTGGAAAAAAGAGATATTGGAAAGAAAACGGTATGACTTTAAAAAAAGAAAAGAAACATAGAAAATTGACGGTAGAAAAAGATGTCCCTCAAGTTTATGTTTTTTGTTTTCTTTTTAATTAATTAAACACACACACACACATCTAATTTTTGTTGGATGTAATGTGATGGACATGTATTTATCCCAAGCATGTTTAAACTCAGTTTCTGATTGATCGACCCATTATCTCCACTGGAAGTTGGTTCCGCTGCTTTTTCTGTAAAGCCATATTTTCTAACATGACTTTTGAACTTCCTTCCTGCCAGTTTCAGGTTATGCCTCCAAGTTTTTGATTTTTGCTTAATATTGAAAATACTGTACTTTTTACTTTTTCTTATATATTACACTGTATTATATTAAGCTGCTATTAATTATATTACATTATGTTAGGCTGTTATTAAATATTACATATTATATTACTGCTATAATGTTATATTATATGACATATTATATTGCATTATAACATCATTATATTAGGCTACTATATTATTTTATAAGAGCCGAGGTGGCGCAGTGGTTAAATGCAGCACTGCAGGCTACTTCAGCTGACTGCAGTTCTGCAGGTTGGCTGTTCAAATCTCACCGGCTCAAGGTTGACTCAGCCTTCCATCCTTCCGAGGTGGGTGAAATGAGGACCCNGATATGCTGACTCTGTAAACCACTTAGAGAGAGCTGAAAGCCCTATGAAGCGATATATAAGTCTAACTGCTATTGCTATTGCTGGACAAACTTGTTAGCCTGGGGTGAGAGAGAAACGTTTTTGCTGGGGCTGCCGGCACCCCTAATAAAGGAATCATTGAGTTCACTTCAGAAGGTTCGTCCTGTTTGGGGAGCTGGGTCAGAACAAGCAAACCTTGAGGTCTAAGAGAAAAAAAAAGTCGCCTTTTAGAGTATTACAAGCTAGGACATCGTTGGTTTAGCTTCAGAGGGTTTGCTGTAGCTGGAGAACCGGGTGAGAACAGACCCCTTTTTTTCAGTCCCATTTTGAACGGTCGCTAAACGAACACTTGTAAGTTGAGGACGGCTGTTCCGTCCGATAGTCTTGGGTCCTACCTGCCTTCAGTCCGAGCCTTTTCAAATCTTCCTGGTAGGCTTTTGTGGCCGCTTCCTCCATGGCTGCAAACTCCTTTGCCATTTTTGCATCCTCTTTCGCTTTGTCCAGACTTTTCTGCTTAATCTGCAATTTAAAAAGAGGAGGGAGCAGGTACACGTGACGCAGGGTTTAAAAAAAAACATTCCGTCCAGGTTCAAGGAGGTGGCGTCACATTACCTCGCTAATTTTCTTCGCCACATTTTCCTTGTGGTTCTTTCCTCTCTCGTGGAAATCGACGCTCTATAAAAAAACGGAAGAGACGTTCCTAAACTAGAGAAAAATAAACTTTACAACTACGTGTAAACACTGAAGTTCAGATAAATATTTCCACCTTCAATCCTTGTTGGAAAAACATCTAATTTTCCAAAAAACCTGACCAGGAATGGTTTGAATGCCATTTTATTCCTGCAAGGCATGTTAGGTGATTTTAAAAGGCTCCCTAAACCATATAAATTTGTGTTTCAGCTCTTAAATAAAAGTGAAAAGAACAAGCAAAGTTCCAAATTTAACTCCAAGAATCCAGATCTAACTAAATCTGAAGATATTAAACATTAAATATACAGTAACGGTAAAGGTTCCCCTCGCACATATGTGCTAGTGGTTCCTGACTCTAGGGGGCGGTGCTCATCTNTGAATTTCATTTTGTTAGATAGTGCCCAATGTTCAAGTCTGTCAAGATCCTTCTGAATCTTAAGCCTGTCTTCTGGAGTAGTGTTGGCTAGCTTGGTGATATATAATAAAAGAATATAGAGAGAATAAAGAATAAATGGCAATTGTAAAATAAAAGAGAAATCTATTGCTAAATATATCATTTTGTGTTGTGTTTTGATGGCAACTTCTATGGTTTCTGGATACGTGATTTATAAAAGGAGTTTAGCTGCAAATTTACCTCCAGATTTCATGTTGTAATAATAGGTGTAACCTTCCGGAGAAAATCCTCGCACCCATTCCTGTGTTTCACTGGATGAAACTCCCTTGGTTTGCTTTTCCTTTTCTTTTTCTTTTTCCTTCCTTTCTTTTTCCTTCTTTTCTTTTTCTCTCTTTTCTTTTTCCTTCTTTTCTTTTTCCTTCTTTTCTTTTTCCCTCTTTTCTCTTCTCTCTTTTTCTTTCTCTTTTTCTCTTTTCTCTCTTTTCTCCTTTTCTTCCTGTTTTATCGGCAAGGAAGGCTGTCCTACAGGTTCTGAGAGAAGGAGTATTAGATTTTTAAGGCCCACCTGAGAAATTCTAAGAGAACCTCATAGCTAGACAACTAACCCAACCGTTTGAATATTGAATATTAGCTGATAACCCAGCATTGCCCTGGGTATTTATTTATAGGGGGAAAACGTCCGGACCAAACGTAATTTCTCCTGTTGGATATTCCCCCTTACCAGAGGGAGCCCCCTTGTGGAATACTGGCAAGTTCACTGCGCTGTACAGTAGAAGCCATTTTTGGCAGTACACTAGAAGCTATTTAAAGGCACAACAGGCTGCATCAACACCGCACACCCTTGAGGGGTGTTAGGGGTGTCCTACCCCCCACAGTATTTGTTTCCAAAGAGTAAGTCATCTGTGTACCAAGTTTACCAATTCCAGAGTTATGCTGGAACAAAGGCGCACACAGAGTAATTTACATATATATATATAGAAGATTTCAAATCTCTGAAACTCTAGCAAGGCGGGCTAAGTGGAATATGGTGTAATTCAACTAACCAAGTTCGGCTAGACCCATAGATCTTTTCTTAAGACTTCAGCCAGATAGTAGCTAGTAAAGGTACTATCTGCAAAATGATACTAAACTGGAATATTTCCACAGGTAGTCCTCGACTTACGACCACAATCTGAAAACCAAAACTTCGGTTGCTAAGTGAGAGGCATTTGTTCAGTGGGTTTTGCCCCATTTTACGATCTTTCTTGCCATGGTTGTTAAGTGAATCACCGCAGTTGTTAAATTGGTAACCCGGGTTGGTAAGTGAATCTGGCTTCCCCACTGATATGGCTTGTCGGAAATTCGCAAGGGGGAATCATGGGACCACAGGGCACTGCAACTGTGGCAAGTACGTGCCAGTTGCCAAGCACCCGAATTTTGATCACGTGACCACGAGAAGGCGGCAGTGGTCGTAAGTGTAAAAAATGGTCATAAGTCCCTGTTGTGGCCTGTAGGCTCCCAGCCCCTCCAGCAGATGAATAGCAATAGCAGTTAGACTTATATACCGCTTCATAGGGCTTTCAGCCCTCTCTAAGCGGTTTACAGANAGAGAGGGAAGGAAGGAAAGGGAGAGAGGGAGGGAAGGAAAGGGAGAGGAAAGGAAGGGAAAGAGGGCAGGAAAGGAAGGGAAGGAAAGAGAGAAAAGGAAGGGAGGGAAGGAAGGAAGGGGAAAGAAAGGAAGGAAAGGAGGAAAGAAAAGGAGAGAGGAAAGAAAGGGCGAGGGAGGGACAGAGGAAAAGGAGGAAGGAAAATGAGAGGAAAGGGAGGGAGGGAAGGAAAACATTCCTATAAATGGTTTCTGGGCGTAGGAAGTTTGGATGGGCCAAATCCATTGTGGAAGCCATTTTGTGAGCGCAATTAGGCAAATTCTCAAAAGTCCAAATGGGTTCATTGTGTCCCTATTTTAGGGACCCACAGAAATGCATTTGGTGTCGAATAGATGTGGCTTTGGAGCTTCAATAGCAGCCCGAGTAAAACCTCTCACCTCCAGTCTCCGTGTTGTAGTAATAGGTGTTACCATCATCATCTGTCCCTTCGATCCAAACCGCTTCCTGAAAAACAAAGGCTAAATCAACCACGCAATGAAGGCTGATTAAAGTCTCACCCATTTCTCACTATACGCCGATTTTATTTTACCTCGTCTGAGGAGCCGTAAAGTTACATTTATTTAAAAGGGAAACATCATAACTTAGCCACTGTAAGCTTCCTTCCTTCTCGGCAATGATAAAATCCAATTATTGCAGAATTCAACAGAGGGGTCTCCCTATATAATGCCATTAAATGCCTTTACATAAGCCTCTGGCTGATAAATGCATTAAGATAATTGTACTCCTAATCATATCCATTCAGAACAGATGCAAGTAAACTAATTTTTCAGCGAATTGAGAATGCATTTTAAATAAAGACGACACATTTTTTTGAGATACCTATAATAGTAAGTAAGGATTTAGTTACCATTTCAGAATTCCGAGTGGTGTCCTGAAATCCTTCTGGCTTCTCCCACTGTGATTCTTAATAATAACAGAATTATTATTTTTTAAAAGACTTTAATTTGGGATCCAGGAAAAAGAAAATCATTCATGCAGTATTAGATACAGAATAACAGAGCTGAAAGGGACTTTGGAGGTCTTCTATCCAACCCCCTGCTTAGGCACCACTTCAGAGAGTTATCCAATCTCTTCTTAAAAACTTTTTTTTAAAAAACATTCACAACTTCTGGAGGCAAATTGTTCCATTGGTTAATTGTTTTCACTGTCAGAAAGTTTCTCCTTAGTTCTAGATTGCTTCTCTCCTTGATTAGTTTCCACCCATTGCTTCTTNTAATATAATATAATATAATATAATATAATATAATATAATATAATAAATATAATGTAATGTATATTATAGTTATATTATGTTACATTATATCATATATACTATATTATAATTCTATTAGGCTATTATATTACTTTGTTATATTATGTCATATTAGGCTGTTATTAAATATTATATTGTGTTAATATTATATTAGGCTGCTATATTATGTTAGGGTATGACATTATTATGTTATATTGGGCTGTTATTATAGTTATATTATATTTATATAATACATTACATTATATCACATCACATATAATTCTATTAGGCTGTTATATTGTGTTATGTTATATTATGTTATATTAGGCTGTTATTATATATTATATTATGTTAATATTATATTAGGCTATGATATGATGTTGTGTTGCATTAGGCTTTTATTGTATTTAGGGTATATATTATATTATATTTATTCTATTCTATTGTATTATATTACATGACCTTATATCATGGGTTATTGCTATGCCAGTTAAATTATAGGATAAAGCAATTCCAGGGATAAATACACCAGTCAATTATCGCGAAGCCAGGGAAGGAGCGGATCAACGGTCTCTCTCGGGGGAAAGTCTCCCCCTTAATCCAATTCAGGAGTCGGGGGCGTGTGTGGGTGAGGAGGGCCGGGGATCGGAGCCCCCGGGGGCCGAGGGGGAGACGGGGACTCACATGGCTTCCCTTCCCCGGCGGAGAAGCGGGCGCAGCGGCCGATCAGCCGAAGCAGGAACTGGGCGCCCGCGGCGGCGGCGGCGCGTTTTGCTGACGTCACGGCCGCGCCACGCGCAGCAGGAGGGAGGCGGAGGAGGAGGAGGAGGACGACGACGGCGGCCTGGCGGGGCCAATCCGGGCGGCGTTCTCGTCCCAGAGGCGGAGGGGAGGCCGGCGCTCGGCGGCGGCGTCTCGGGGCTTTCCAGGCCGGGCTGGCTCGGAGTCCTCGGGCCCGGAGGCGGCGGGCGAGTCGGCGACGGTTCTCCTTGCTCTCGGCCTCCGCTAGGCTCTCCCACCCGCCGTTTCCTCGACACAACAGCCCTGCGAGGTA